AAAAAAAAAAAAAAAAAAAAAAAAAAAAAAAAAACGTTTGAAAAATGTAACGTCTGGAAAAAATGGCCGCGTAATATAACTTGGCCATTACGTGTAAATTCTTTTCAATCGGGCACAGATCGTATATGTATATATATATATATATATATATATCGATATATATACATATAGAAAAAAAAATATATATACATAGATGTGCATATATGGACTCATATATATATGTGTATCTATATAACCCCTTATCTCCTTCCCCCTTAGGATGGTGGATGCTGGTGTAACCGTGTAACTTTGTCGTTTTCGGTGTTTAGCCGCAAAATCTCTTTTTAATGCCTAAAATGCGCTATAAGCGAAATCGTATCGATCGTGATTCACGTATTAACGGATTCCTTTTTCTTTTTTTTTCTCTGTTCCCTCTATTATCGACACGCGGCCGACCCGCAGACAGAAAGCTGTTCGTGGGAATGCTCAGCAAGCAACAAACAGAAGACGATGTCAGACAGTTGTTCACTGCCTTTGGCACAATAGAGGAGTGTACCATCCTCCGAGGACCTGACGGCAGTAGCAGAGGTGAGTGAAACAAACACATGATATAATTTATTACACCTTTTTGAATTTTTTAACAACTCTCCCAGAGACCTCGCTCGGGAGCAACGTTCCTCCTCAACGTTCTCTTTCTTTCTTTTTCTTTTTTTTTTTTTTTTTTCAAATTCTTTCCACAATTTTTTAATATAAATTTTTCAAACGCTGCGAGTTATTTAGTCGGAGGAAGGAATGGGGTTTGCGGTCGAATTTTATACTCTTTGATCCTTTCTTCTGATATTATCTTCATTCTTTGTTTATAATTTAATCAACGCGTAAATAAAAGTCGAGTATATTCGAACACTCGAATTTTATAATTTTGATGTTGATTGTATAAAGAAAAAAAGAAGAAGAATTTTGTTACACGAGGCGACAAAATATTAATAATATTTAAGAAAAGAGAGGCAAGATTTTTGAAATTGAAATGAATTTGCTCAGAGAGATATAGAATCGAGATAAAAGATCGTTCGTGGCAAAAATTCGTGGTCGTGTGGCAATTTACGTCGCGAAAGAGAGCGATTGGCTCGAAGGGAGGGGAGGAGGCGAGGGGGTGTTCTGCGATGCAATTCTGACATCGATGCGGACGAATAAATCCTACGACTGATAAAAAGGACGGTATTCGATGGTATTCGAAGATTTGCTGCGCCCGCTGTGTTTATACCTGTTCCAGTTGCGTGGAAGAAGTAGCGGGGGTTCACGGGTCGGTAAAGATTGCCTCTGGAATGATGAACTGCAAAGGAAAAGAGGGAGAGGGAGAGAGAGACCGGAGGAAGCTCAGACGGAGGCAGGAAAGGCAATAATTTCCGCTGGACGAGCCAGTGAAATTTAAATATTTTCGTATAAAAATGAATACCACGAATAATGGGATCGTCGATGGTCGAGTTTCTGAAAGATTTAACCGAAAAGGGAGGGAGGATCGTAATCGACGCAAGACGATTAAAGACGCGAATTTTCCTTTCCTTGGACGAGCTAGAAAAAAGAAAAAGAAAAAAGCAGGTGCGAAATGTAATTAAACTCCATCCTCCTGAAACTAAATCTCACTTTCAACGGAGTTAATAAGATTTCGATTCTCAATGGATGATGTAACGCAGCGTCGTCTTTGGCGAAGACGGGATTCTAAGAAGAGGTAAAGGCAACAGCGCACGATGCTTCGCGACACGATGCTTTGCTCTCGAATCTCGTCTCCTCTCCAACCCCATCTTCCATCAATTCCCTCTCTTCGCTATTTCTCGTTCTACATTTCTCCCCTTTGTCGAAAAACGGGACGGCTTTTCATCCTCTTTTAATTAAAATCACGCGAACGCGGGCCCATTCGATTGATCGGTAGCCTGTTTCTTGGAACGCACGCCAGAGGGCCGGCTACCAATTTCAATTCCACGAATTATCCAATGGAATTATCCAATGGAAAACAACCTCGAAGTGGAGACTAGTTCATGAAACGATCGCCCTTTTACTCCATTCCAGTAATTAATCAAGCGTTGGAGAAATTTTGGAAGAATGATCTCTTAACGAAAGGACAATCGTGTCATGTTTCGATTCTAGGAGAAAGAAGAAGGGGAGGGGGGGGGGGGAAAGTTTGAAGAAGTCCAATACGTAACGGGATAAACTCGCGTTACTAAATTTAATTGGAACGATGGTTAAACGGCCGTGGACAAGTTTCGATGGACTGGATACGGTTGCTATCGAAAGGCAGCGATCGCTTATTCCGGCAAACTACAACGGCTAAGGGGGGGGGGGGGGGGGGTAAAGTTTGAATAATTCCAATACGTAACGGGATAAACTTGCGTTAATAAATTTAATTGGAACGATGGTTAAACGGCCGTAGACAAGTTTCGATGGACTGGATACGGTTTCTATCGAAAGGCAGCGATCGCTTATTCCGTGCAACTCTACCGTCTACATCCCTCGTCCTGGTTCCATCCTGACGGAAACTTTCCGAACACGCTTCATCACCGGTCGCTTGGGCTCGCTCGAGTTTCATAACTAGCTAATCCGTGACGTAATAGAGAGATCAGGAAGATCTCTCCTCCACGACTTCATCTGCGTATCGCTTTAGGTCTACCGCACCAGCCAATAGAGTTACGCGTATATAACGTATAGTGCTTTAATTATAAATAAGCCTCGCTTCGATTACAATCTTCCTCTGAATATCGCTTAAATTCATAACTCTTCTATATATATACTTTGTTCACCACTAATTGAAACTCGTAGAGAAATCCACGCCATTTTTTTATCTCCATGTCTGATTCACTCAACGATCTATATTTTTTTTTTTTTTTCTGAAAATACTGCCTTATTTTCGAAGAGATTATGTTTAGAGTTACAACGATTAAAAGATTAAGAATTTTAGTAGAATTTCTAAGGTGTGTTGCGATAACTTTGATATCTCGAGAATCTTAGAAGCGATTTAATTACGTTTTTCTTTTATCGATATAAAAAAAGAAGAGGAGAAGGTTAAATATCGATAACCCTTTTCGTCCCTAGAATAGGAAAAATGTAAAAATTAGGTATTACAAGCGCTTAAAAACGACGAGTATTCTCAGGCTAGAGATTTTAGTTAGACGACATCCCAGGGAGAATTACAGTCTCGTTGAAAGTTATTGGCAGTCCTCTCATTGTTTTCAAATAACTTCCCTTATCGGATGATACCTACCTAGATAGATAGGTAGTTGGAAAGGTAGCGAAAGACTTCTCGGTAACGAGGAGTTTAAGAAGGGAATTCGGTTCGACGACTTTATGGAAAGGCAGGAGACGAACACGGTTGTCTTCGTCATCGTTCAGACGCTCCGCATTCCACCACCAATGCCTTAGTAACGACAGACTCTTCGTCCAATTATTTTTCCCTCGCTTCGAAACATTTCAACACCACTTCACCCAACGAACTCGTTCTATTTTCTCGTTTCCGTGCCAACCTTTCCTCGCCTCTTTCCTTCCTTCCTTCCTTCCTTCCTCCTCCCTCCTTTCAATTCCTCCTCCTTCTCAACCTCGACGTTTTTCGACGTGCACAGGAGGCCCCCCCTCGCCGGACCAACCCCTTAACACGGGACCCCGACGAGCTCGCATTATTTCAATTGTGCGAGCAGCAATAATTCACCCCGCTAAGAAGATTATAAAATGTTTATGAATAATGGAACGAAATACTGTTCGAGGCGGCCGGGGTGCTTCCAAGGGTGCTTCTTCTATATATATATATATATAAAACAGGGTGCAAGCGTGGGTGGGTACTAACCAACACTAAAGCCAATAATGCTACCTAGCCACCTTCGAAATAGAAGGTGAACTCGCTCTCCACCTTCTATCCGTGTATCCGCTTATTCCACGCCACGCTTGTATTGTAAACGTTAAACGAATATTCGCGCAGAGGAACAATTCCACGTATTAAGTTGTAATAACATTGTTGTTGCCCCCCTCCCTCTCGTCGCAGGGAACCTCGTGCCAAGTCTCCCCCGCTTATTCATACTTGGCCTCTCGACCGTCCACAGCTATTATATCACTCTTAAGTAGCTGTCGACGAGTAGAGGGATTAAACCTAAAGTCGCCGTTTCCAACCGCGGTTTTCGATTTCGATTTCTTAATAATTATTCCACGTGTTTTTCTTTTTTTTTTTTTTTTTTTTTATTTTTCTTCGAGTCGTGAATTTGATTCGAGATGTATTATATCTCACCAGAAGAATTTCGTTCTCTGGATGAAACTAATTATTTTGCTAGAAATGAATGACAATCGGGAATGGAAAAGAGAAAAGGAAAGAAAAATTATTACAACGAGAATCGAAACTAATTTTCGGGGGATCCGTGTTCAATTTTAACCGAGATCTCTCGGATTCGACGTTCCAACGGTCGGATAGATTTACGCGATCTTTTTTCTTTTTTTTTTTTTTGGTAATTTGTTTTACGAAAATCGACGCGATGACGCGCATACATCTTCGCTTGAAATTAACGCGCACGATCGATGCGCTCGCAGGGACGGTATTTCTTATTTTTACGGCCACGCATCGAGCGAAATGAGAACGTTTCTCCTTTTTTTCTCTTCTTTTTTTTTTTTTTGCGGCCCCGCAGCGAGCGAAATTAGAACGTTTCTCCTTTTTTTCTCTTCTTTTTTTTTTTTTATCGAGCCAGCTATCGTTTCCGATAACGCTCGTCCGAGCCTCGCGAGCGTTTGATCATACGTGACGTCAACGGATTAGAATGGTCCCGTTAACGACATTACTGACAGGAAATATGACGAATCAATAATTTCCTCGATCTAGCATTTTATGAGGGAGTATTAAACGGGCGATAGTTATCGATGATTAATCGTCCCGCTGTCACCTACACGGGCCCGTTTCGTTCAATGTATCGCGCCTTGACACGCATAACGGATAGAATTTTTCTTTCGAAAAATATTCGCGAAGAAAGAACGAAAAGTCGTATCGTTTGTTTACGAAAGTGTTTTCCTCGAATTTTGGTTCTTCGTTCCTCGACGAAACATCGCATCGGACTTATTAAAACTTTTGGAAATTTGTAATGAAATACTTTTTTGTTAGAACGAAAAAAAGATGTCGTAATGTTCTTTCCTTTGGATAAAATGTAGTCGTTGAATTTCAACATGCGATGAAATAATTTCTGGAAAGAAACTTTTGGACGAAGATAAAAATTTTTTGCGGGAATATTGTTATAGTGTTCTTTTATTTAAAATGGAAAATGGAATATTCTTTTGAAAAATATATTTTTTTTATAATTTAATAATTTTTAAACATTTTTGTACATATTTCGATACATACGAGGAGCGATAAAAGGATACGAGATTATCTATCTATCCTCGTAACATTTTCTTAGAAAATGTTATTTTACCAATAGTCGCCTTTCGAAATGATTACCCTCGGCAATTTTGTATCAACAGTTTCCCTTCCCAAGGAACATCTTTTCATAAACACTTTTGAAAATCGATCTTAGATCAGATTTCACATTTTCCCCCATTTTCTGCATTGGCCTTTGAAATAAAGCTTTTAC